CAATGGTGGCCCCCCCCCCCCCCCCCCTTGTGGCACCACTGGAGCGGTTCCCTCTGATGTCAGATCTTCAGCTTCCTATAGGAGGAAAGAATGGAACCTCTGTGCTGATTTTTTTATGGCTGTCCCCATTGGGAAGATCCACGCCCAGTGGCGTCACAAGGGGGGTGCGGCCCGGGTGACACCATTGGAGGGGGGACACCAAAATAACTCAGTCATTTTGGTGTCACCCCCCTCTGAAAAGTCGGGTGCTCGGTCATGGGCCGAACGCCCGACAGTATCAGGAGAGAGGAGGGGACCCGGCGGCATACCTCATCCCGCCGGGTGGCTGTTTCCTCCTCTCTCTGCCGGCGTCCATCACCAAGATGGCCGCCGACAGGTATCAGAATACTGACGCGCGATGATGTCACGCGCATGCGCAGTGACGTCTCTGCGGGGCGACACTCGGTTACCGCTCCTGGTGTCACCCAGCCTCGGGACGCCCCTGTCCACGCCCCTCCTGTGCTGGTGACACCCAATGACATAGGTCAGGTGATCACCAAGGAAGCTGACAACATGGTTCGTTCTGCAGGTAAACCATTGCAGTGTTGTCACCGGGGAGTCTTCGATGGACTTGAAGTGAAAGACAAATCAAAGCCCAAGTCCCAGCTAACATGTTTCAGCAGTTACGGCATCTGATTTCGTTTTCTTTTTTTGGGGGGGGCACCCCTGAACATGGTGAGCACCCCCATTAGTGTCATATGGTTTAACTGTCATTTTTGTCAGACAGCTCGGCCTGCAAGTAAACCTCGGAGAAAAAAAATGAATCAGGACCGAACGCCGAGCCCTCCAGCTGTGGGGTGAAACTACAAATCCCATGATGCATCTCTCTCCGGGAGTCGTGTCTGTGAGAAACTTGCAATGCCTCATGGGATTTGTAGTTCCACCGCGTGCTGGAGGGCCCGGAGGTCGGCTATCCTTGAGCTAAACTCCCTGGACAGAGGGTGACAACGCCGAAGTGATTTCACTGCAGAACGAAGAGGGTTGTCACCCTGCTGAAGGAAGCTGAAAAATCAACAGATCCAATGGCGGGGTCAACGGGTGAAACTAAATGACGGGGAGGACTCAGATATGTTATTAGCGCTGACGGACTCCATCACACGTCACATGGTTACCAGTCCGGGTCACTCACCTTTATACTCATATCTACCGACTCCCCCAAACTGTCCACAGAGTCCCGATATGTCTGGATGTAGCCAACGCTGAGCGCCGTCATCTGGGAGGGAGACAACATGTCATTAAATGGACAAGTCACATGACAGCAGCTGCCTAAACTAAGATGATGTCATCAGACTGCAGCAGGCAGGAGGAAGCATTTCCTCAGTCTCCCCTCCCCCAGTGATCAGTCTGCTGCAGGCAGGAGGAAGCATTTCCTCAGTCTCCCCTCCCCCAGTGATCAGCCTGCTGCAGGCAGGAGGAAGCATTTCCTCAGTCTCCCCTCCCCCAGGGATCAGTCTGTAACGTTGTATGCAGTCACAGGGTGAGAGGCTGCAGCAGGGGGCTGATCTGTGTCAGACATTTGTTTGTTAGCCAATAACTGCACTTGTAGATGGTGACTCGGGATGATTCCTGAACAGAGATGGCGCCGTCCTCTTGGCCCTGCCGGGGAGATACTTGGGGACTCACGTTTTGGATGGTGCCGTTGAGGCTTTTCATCATCTGATCCACCTTCAGGGCGACATCTTGTGTCAGGATCTCCAAATCCTTCAGGACCTCGACATCGATGGGCGGGATGTCGGCTCGGCTCCTCTGCAAGGCCTGGCGCCGGACTCCGCCCTCCCCTGAAACGCCAAAGCAGCTCCGTGTCATGTGACCGCCAACCCC